GAAATAATGATCCATAGACTTCCCCAAACCACAGTGGAATGGGGAGGAAAACATAATAGCTTTCTAATAACAAGAGAAAGTCACCTATTTTCTGAAGCACTACCTTGAAAGTTCCACTCCAAAAAATGCCTTGAGGCTGGCTCCTGTAATCCCAGCACTTTGGGAGGCTGAGGCAGGTGGATCACCTGAGGTCAGGAGTTCGAGATTAGCCTGGCCAACATGGTAAAACCCAGTCTCTACTAAGAATACAAAAATTAACCAGGCATGGTGGCCAGCACCTGTCATCCCAGCTACTCTGGAGGCTGAGGTGGGAGAATCACTTGAACCCAGGAGGCGGTAGTTGCAGTGAGCTGAGACTATACCACTGCATTCCAGCCTGGGCAATGAGCGAAATTCCGTCTCAATAAAAAAAAAAAAAAAGCCTTGATCTCTAGAAAAAACATTAGCCCCATCCTGGAAGTTACCATAGTGTCTTCTTTCAAGAACAAAAAATACGGTAATTTTATTTGAATATCCAGAAATCTCAGATAACATCTTACTTCTTTTAGTCCACGACAGAATCGCTCAAACACTCGTTTCATATTGCCTCCTTTTTCCATTGAGATTACCCTGGTGTGATCCTCCTCATTTATCCAGATGAGAAATGTCTTATCATAATTATGCCTAATGAAGAGAGAAATATGGTGCTGAGTGTTAATTGCATTTGTTTCAACACATGAAAATTCTCATTACCTCCCTGGCTTGATTGCCTCATTTCACCTTCCTCATTTCCTAGATGGCCCTGTGCCTGAAAAAGTATGACAAAATAATGTTACCTTGACAGAAAGAAGAATAAGACCAACTGTCACCATAAAAGATGTCATGTTTTTACCCAACAAGAATATAATTCCACCTAGGTCCTCTGACTAGGATGACAGTAATTCAACTATATAACATTGGCTTTGATACTAACAAGAATGTTTTGTCTCCTAAAAGATTCAACCAAAATCTCGTGCTTTACAAAGGGGGTGGGGTTACCTTCCACCCAAGATGTTTAAGGTATACAACATTTCACACGTTTGCACCATAGATCCTGCCTGTCCATCCCTACTGAGCAGCTGCTCGTGAACACCTTTATTTCCACTACTTCAGGTACACTCACTCATAATAACCTATCAGGGTACAGGAGGCAAAGTGGGCTGAGGACTATTGGCCAACATAAAATATGTGTATACGAGATATCAGTTCTTTCAGAGTTTTTCTTAAATCCTCGATATTTTTATGTTTTGCTCTTTTAATGTCCTGAAACAGATTCTCTGCGAAGTCAAATAATATGAAGTAAATTTTTTCTTAAAAAGGTAGCCTTTCTTCTTAGGCATAATTCATGCAAACCAGGTCACATTTCTACACATCTTAGTAACATCACAATACTTAGACACACACACACACAATTTTTAAGGCATGCTGTCAACTGTAGTACACAGCAACTCCAGGTTAGGATAAGCAGGTGATCTCAAAGAGATCCTCTACAGATACTGCAAATGTGAACATGCTACATCCATACCAGATTCCCCTGGCATCTGGCCAGTCACGGGCCATTCCAGCACATGTTAATAAAGGGGACACTGGCTTATCAAACAGAAAGTGGTCCTGTAGGTCAAAAGGGATAAAGCAGAGAGGAGAGACTGATGAGATCAAGCAGGACTGCAAGTGGCAGGTGAACAAGTTCCAACTCAATTCCAATGGCTGCTGTCTCTTAGGTGGTGGTTCTTAGCCTTGGCTGCTCACTAGAATAACCTAGGAGCTTAAACAAACTAATGCCTACTTCCCATCCCCAGAGATTCTGACCTAGTTGTTCTAGACTGTGTCTGGGCATCAGGTTTTTTTAAAGACTCTTTCAGGTGATTTTAATGTGCAGCGAATGTTGGAAAACACTGGTTTAGTCCATATGGAACTCAGTAAATCACTATGGAGCGGGTATACACTACCAACACCAACCCTATGCAATGGCTGAATGAGCAATGAATGAGGGACACTGTCCTGAAAAGGCTTTTGTACACAGTGGTCATTCTCTGTTTCTAGCATTATTGCTTCATATATTATTATTTATTTCATTCAAAAGTATTAGAGATGTACAATAATGATCAATAAATTAAAATAGCTACCATTAATACTGTGCCAGGCTCTAGATCACAGGCTTTTATTTCCTTTAAACTTCACAACTCTATGAAATAAGTGTTATTCTGTTTTATAAATAAGGAAAACTGAGATTCAGAGAGATCATACAACTTGTCCAATAGGGTGATTGTAGGAAGCAGCAGAATATAGATTCGAGTATAGACTTTATGACGCCCAGGCTTGTGCTTTAACCACTGGAACGTACTACTCCACATATCAAAGTCAAAGTCGAGACTAACTTTTTTTTGCATTGTATATACCACTCTTTCTTGCATAGCTATACACATACTCTACAATGGGACATATGGAAACTATATATTCAAATATGATTACACTGAGGTAAGAAACCAAGTGGATGTGGGGAGAGGAGTCCTACAGTCTCTAAGGGGGAGAGATCAGTCAGGAGGAGGATGTGAACTGCCACCATCCAGGGAGCAGCAGTTTCCCTTAAGCAGGAAACCAGGGTGGCTACTTGAGGTGGAGGGGGCCTTGTTCTGTAACGGGGCAGGGGAATAGTTGGCCTGGTGGCCACAGAGACCAGGAGACTAAAGCCCATAGACCATATAGTTGGCCAGTCTGGTTTGGAAATGAGGCATATTTCTTAGCATTTGCATCTTTTGAAATGACAAAATTTTGTTTCTGCCTTTTTTTTAGAGTTTAGTTAAAAGCTACTTTTGAAAGTGCTATCTTGTTTTAGCTATGCTAAGGTGAAAATAAGTAAGGGACTTGAGTTTTGTGCACTCTGGTGCCAGAGGGAAGCCACGGTGGACACAGTGGAAGCAGCAGGAATCAACCCCAGCAGGAAATGCAGAGGCTGGCACCACATGAGTCAGGGCAGGCCTCCTACCTGGAATTTCCTTTGGCTATGATAATAGAGACCATCTTCTGGGCACAGACAGGATTTCCACACCTAACTGTTCCCATTTATGAACAAGCTAGGAGATCCTCCATTCAATCTCCACCCCACCCTCCACCCCTTCCATTCACAGGCACCATCTCCATATTGGAGCTGCTTAGGCAGATTTTATCCCTGGAATATTTCAGTGGCTTGACAAGTACAATGCAAGACCTCATCTTTCTTTCTTACAATGAACAAGTAGATGCCCTTGGGCTGAGCTCAGCAAGCTCCTGGCCAGGGTAAGGGCTGAGCTGAGCACCAGGAGAGGCCTTCCTGTACAGCTCAGAGCCCCACATCCAGTCCTTCTCTAAGGATCTCCAACTTTTACTCACGTCAATAAGCCGCTGCTGGTCCTGCTCCGTCATCTCAGACAGCCTGTAGTAACGGCCGGCCAGGTCTCCCTTGAGGCCCTCCAGGGCCATGATGGCCACGTTCTCCACCTCCCTCCGCTCAGCCCTGGTGCAGGCAGGTGGTAGGCTCAGCCCACGGATGCTGCGGCCTGTGCGCACCCGAGATGACAGCACATAGTTCTCATCAAACTGTCCTTGGGTGATCTGCCGAGCAGAGTGTGGGGTCACTGCGGCCAGCCTCCGACCACGGTCCTGCCACAGCCACAGTGGGTTCCAATCCGCCAATCTGCAGTTTCCCAGGGGACCCTCAGGCACTGTGCACAAGTGCACAATCCATAAGTTGGACACATTCTGGAAGTCTTGGGCCAGGGGCCTTTGACTAGTAAAGGGGAGAGCTGTTTTATATAGTGTGGTCTGAGATCCTTGACCCTAACTGGGTGGTTTGGGTTGAAAAAGGGAATAGCTTTGGAAAAGTTTTAAATTTCCCAATGACCAACCTTTCCCTAGTTGTATTTATTAAAGAAAACAAAGACTTTGGGAACTTCCTAACATCTCCTCTGTGGCCCTCCAGCGGGGAGGCTGTGCTAGGGCAGTCACAGCACTTTTCAGGGGTATCTGACTCAAGGTGGGGAGCCCTTCCTCCAGGGCTTCTCCCCTTAGGCTCTGGAGTGCAAGCTTCACGGGGAAGGAGGAGGCTGGAGCCTACCTTGGATGCATCCAGATCAGTTGGGTGCTTCATCACCCTGGGGTCGTAGCCATTGTGTCTTAGTTTGATGACGGGGTCAAAAAGGTCAGCAAACACCTGCAGGAGGGAAGGTGCATGTTTCCTCTTTAATTGTGTTCAAAGACCTTTCCATTCACATGCTCTTTGTATCTTAAAAGCCAAAGTTGATGCCTCCCTCCTCTGACATCCTTGGGACTATCATATAGGAAATGGATGTGAGAATGGATTGGTTAATGATAATAACAACAAGAGAGAAAACCTTTTGGAGGCATCTTGCCTCTTGAGACAGGGTGGGGCTGCTGAGTCCTGCCATCTTACCCTCCCCGAGTGATCTGCCAAAATCACTGCCATCAGACCGAGCAAGAAAATTCTCATGGTTAGGAATTTAAAGGGTTTCCTAGATGTGTTTGCCTTTGTGGGTTACAAGAAGCCACCAGATCGGAGGCTACAGTTTTATGCTCAAGGGGAAAGTCAGTTTTTAAAGATTAAGCCACATATTAAATTTGTTGAAAACCTGGCTATGCCAGAAGAAAGTACACAGCAGCAGTTAGGGCGAAGCAGGGAACTCTCACCCTGTGAGGACCTTCCCCAGCCCAAACGATCTCATGCAAAATCTTATTTAAAAACAACAACAAAACTTCAGGCATATCCTTTGTTAAAAAAAAAAAAAAAAAGTGTTAAAAGAAGTTGTAACAAAGCACCCTGCAGACTTTAGGAGCTGTGGAAAGTGGGGAGGGCTTTGGGTCCAGAGAGCTACCACTAGCTTGGGACCCAAACTAGACCCAGAGTTGTATGCTGCTGTACGTAAATGAGCCACAAGTTGTGTTTTTTTTCCAAGATGGCTCCCTCTCTTCTCTGGCTGCCTTTCTAGGGAACTGCCTTCAGTTCCTTGTAACAGAAGAATCCAAAAGGGTGGACCTGAAGGAGGAGGTCTGCAGGCATTTGCCTCGGCAGAAAGGCTACTCTGTGGAGGGGATGCATGGTGGCTGCGTTCTGCTCCAGCCGACCACTCTGTGCTTCTGCACGGAGGATGAGGACGGTGAGATCATAGGGTTTATCCAAGAGACTTGGTGAATTCAATAGTCTGGGTTACAGTAATTGTCTAGTCAGTAATAGAGAATTCAGTAATAGAAGTTGTAATAAGAGGAGAAGTCCTCATTTTCCTAAAGATTGACCCCACCCAATAAAGCTCAGCCACAAACACATCAGCTAATGTCTTATTGGTGAATACATACCGTTCGATTTTATTGTTTCTGTACCACTCATCCCCTTGACAAGCTCAGAGTGTTCTGTCATGCAGTTCATTCCTCCACAGGGAGGGATCCTAGCACAGCAGCAAGGGAAGCCTTGTCCCTGGAAGCTATAGACCTCATTGTTTCAGAAAGCATTCCAGATGATTCTTCTGGAGCTGGCTTCCCTTTATGGGAGCCCTTCCAGAGAAGGCAAAAAGCTGGCCCCATAGACAAGTGAAGGACCCCAGGACTGTGCAGTTCAGTCATATCCAGAGCATCCCTCCCACCCTGGAACTAGAAGCCAACAGTTTTACCTCGTAGGACTCCTCGTCACCAGCCACCATGCCCACAGTCTTTATGAAGGGGTGTCCAGGGTTGTCCACTCCAGTCTGGATGCACTGGTCCAGGGTGTAGCCATTGGGCGTCACCTTGTTGCGAAGCTTGGCATAGATGGCAGGGGTGAGGCACTCGGCCATGCAGTTGTTGTGCTTGCGCAGGTCTGGGTAGTCTGCGCTGTGTGCGGAGGGGGGCAGGCTGTCAGCCAGCAGCCCTCAAGAAAGCAGCCAATGGAAGGACTTGGTGTTTGCCCATCCTTCCACTAGGCTCCCTTCAGCCAGTGGGCACAGGAATACTCAGCTAGAACTGCCCAGGAGTCATGAGTAAACCAGGTTTCAAAAGATAGTCCCAAAGAAAGGAACCTGGCCCTAAGAATCTCATGATGCTTGCTGTAGAAGCCCACAAACTGTGGCTCATGTAAAAAAGGATAAAGTGAACATAATACGAGAATTAATTGAGATTGTATGCAGCCTCCATTCCCCACCCCCGCCCCAGAAGTTTTGGTAAAACATCAACAACAGCCACATTTTGGTCCCGTAGGTTAGTAGTGGAGAGAAACCCTGCAGGTGGAACTGCATAGAAATCCGTCAATTTCTGTCCTTTGTTTATTAAGCAAGCTCTACAAGAGTGGGGATTTTGCCTTTTTGAGAACAGTCCCTGGCTCTTGAAACCAGTGTTCAGTAAATATCTGTGGGACTAACAGAGATAAAATTGGGTGCTGTTTCACCCTGGGGTATGTACTAGTTAAAGAATAGGAGATTGAGGACAACCACAGCCTCAAATACAGGTCATGTCACCTCAGGAATTCCCAAGGTACATGGTGGTTGCTGGTGATTGATTCCCTTAGATCCTGATTTCCACAACAGATAAAATGTCTCTGAGAGACACTTCAGTGGTTTTCCTTGTCTCTCTTATCCACACCTGCCTAAGAGGAATTCTGCACGCCACTCAAATTCTGCTCAGCGTGTGATGTCTCGTTCATGGCAGGGTTCCAAGAGCTGAGAAAACATGTCCATTTTTACCCCCTCACGCCACTCCTCCACTTCCCATCTGCAGTGTCCTTTAGAGCTGATTCTTAAAATCATTACTACAACAGAGGCATGGTTCTGGAATTAGGGGGCCTGGATTTGCATTTGGCTGCAGTAGCTATGTGAACTTGAGTACTGTTTAATTTTCGTAGGCCTTCATTTCATCACAAGCTAAGATGAATAACAGATACTCCATGTAAAGTACTGGTCATATATAAAAGTGCTCCACAAATGTTAACTATCCCTATTAATACTATTCAACTGGATTGCAAGCTCTAGGCAAGAACAGTGATGCTACACTTCTTTGTCTACACCATGGGTCAAAGGCTTAATAAGTCTCAAAATGATTTTCCATTTTACTTAGTCATCCTCAAAAGCAAAAAGAAGGAACCTTGCTAACAGTTTCGAGCAGGGGAAAGCATATTTCTTGCTGGCTTTTGAAGGTTTTTTGTTTTGTTTGAGACGGAGTCTCGCTCTGTTGCCAGGCTGGAGTGCAGTGGAACGATCTCGGCTGACTGCAACCTCCGCCTCCCCGGTTCAAGTGATCCTCCTGCCTCAGCCTCCCGAGTAGCTGGGACTATAGGTGCGTGCCACCATGCCCAGCTGATTTTTTGTATTTTCAGTAGAGATGAGGTTTCACCATGTTGGCCAGGATGGTCTCGATCTCCTGACCTGGTGATCTGCCTCTCTTGGCCTCCCAAAGTACTGGAATTACAGGTGAAAGCCACCGCACCCAGCCTGAAGTTATTTTAAAGCCAAGGGGCCTTACCTTGCAGGGAATAGCCTGGGCTGCTCCCGGGCCTTGGCACACACCTTCTGCCGGTTCAGCAGGTAACCAGTGGTCAGGGCACTGGTGCCCATGGTAGCAAACAGCAGAGAAGCATTGCGGCCAGTTAGCAACTTAGAAAAGATACTGGCCATCCTTCCTCTTGGATGAGTGTCTGGAAAGCAAAGAAGCTGGATTAGATAGCTTCATAGGATTACCCTGCACAGCACAGAGGTCAACAGGCAAGAGAGAAAACTGCAGAAGCCATAGCCCAGCCCCTCTTTCTGGGATGTAGGGAGGTGGGGTTGTGTGTGTACGTACGTACATGCGTGCGTGCGTGCGTGTGTGTGTGTTCTATTTCTTGCTTTTTTTCTTCATATTGCTTGGGAAAATCTGGGTAGTTTTAGACATTAATGCTGAACTTTCTGAACCCGATGCCTTTTCTCTGTTAATACGATAAAAAATAAACCACAGCAGAGGATGTCTTCTTCCAGCTGTTTGACAGACCAGGTGTGCTTTTGAACTTTGCCACTAGACCACAACTAGACCCTGAACAGGATGGATTTCTGGACTTCTGAAAGGTAGGAGAAATTTCTGAGGACCACCTGTCTGCTCTGCTAAAGTTGGGATGCCAGCAATAGGGATGGGGGCTGAGACTGGGATTCCCTCATTGGAGTAGGACCTTTGAAAGAGGTTGAAGTGGCACAAAGTCAGCAGACCCCATCCTCTGACTCCCACCTGAAGCAGGCCTAAAAGCTCTCTGAGGAAATTATATTCAGTTTAGGCCCTGGATTCCTACAGATTAAAATGAAAGAACAAACCCCCAAAGATTACCAAACACACAAAGAGGTGCAATGAATAAGAGTCAACAGAAGAAGTAACAGATTTAGCCTGCTAGACTGAAGATGCTTAGAACTGTCAAACAATAATACAAATAAGCCCTAGATTGAATGTTTAAAGAACTAAGTGTGGAATCATAATTATGAGCAAGCAACAAGAGACTATTAAGAATGACCAAGCTGATTTGAAAGAACTAAATTAAACTATACATTATGACACAGCTGAACATAGAACAGATGAACTGGAAGATATTATCTTAAGAAATTTCTCAGAATATATCACAGAGAAGTGAGAAAATGGAAAATAGATATAAATTAAGAGATATGATGGATAGAATGTCAAGCTCAAATACACATCAAATTGAAGTCCCAGAAAGACAGAATAGAGAAAACAGAGAAGTCAAATTTGAAGAGGAATAACAGACATTTTTAGAACTGATAAAAGACAAAAATCCATGATTCAAGAGATATAACATCTAAGTAAACAAAAAAATTGATACCTAGACAAATAATAATGAAACTGCAGATTATCGGTGACCAAGATGTGAAAAGCAGTCAGAAAGAAAAGACACTTTACCTACAAAGAAATGACAAACATGAGCTGATTTTTCAGTAATGAGCCCAGGTAAATAATATTTTTAGAACCAATAACTATTAACCTAGAACTGGGGGACTAGTCTAACCATTTTTTCAAAAATGAGAGTGAAAAAACATACTGATAAAAAACAGATCAATAACAAAGGAATTACTAAACTATATGCTTGACAAAGGAAATGACAGTAAAAGGAGAGCCTAAAAGGCAGAAAATGGAGAAAGCACATATAAATCTAAATAATATTTATATACTTATTTATAATACAAGTACTAAACTACCAACAAGTGATGAAAAACAGGGTAAACATGCACAGACAGAAGCCCTGCTGGGTCTGCTAGTGCCCCGAGATTAGGTGGGCCAGTTAGCCCTACAGTATTACCTAGCAGGAGCTATGCGACATGGCTCTTTGAGTAGAGAACAAAAGATCAGGTACCTCTCAGTACTTACTCTCTGATATTCATGATGCCTATATAAAGAATGTATGGGCCAGCCACGGTGGCTCATGCCTGTAATCCCAGCACTGGGAGGCTGAGGTGGACAGATCAGTTGAGGCCAGGAGTTTGAGATCAGCCTGGCCAACATGGCCAAACACTGTCTCTACTAAAAATACAAAAAATTAGCTGGGTGTGGTGGCATGCATCTGTAGTCCCAGCTACTCAGGAGGCTAGGGCATGAGAATCACTTGAACCCAGGAGGCAGAGGTTGCAGTGAGCCAAGATTACACCACTGCAATCCAGCCTGGGTGACAGAGTGAGACTCTATTTCAAAAAAAAAAAGTAAAAGTATGGATTTCCCTAACATTTGGAAGGCTCCCAAGACCCAGCTGGAAGATGCTCCAAGCTTAGATGGATTGATTGCTTCAAAGAACTTGCTGATGTGGAAGGCTGTTTTCAGCTACTTGCTGTAGCTGAAAACCTGGGCCATCCAGTGAAGGATAAACAACTCTCCCAAAAAGTTGAACCATCATTTGGAAGTTTCTACTAAACCTGAATGTCCCCACTAAAAGCATCAAAAACCTTGAAAACATTTGAGAAGTTATCTGCATTAGCCCAGGGAATCAGATTAGTTCTTCCATGCTAATATCTGCAAACAAATCTTTTAATGCTAAAGACAACATAAGTTACTAAGAGCAGACAAATTGGTCATTTCTTGAAGTTGTCCTGGGGACTTGTAAAGACCCAACATTAAATCTGATCACGTAAACTTTGCTCTCCTACTAGATTTTCAGGTTGTCCTGTAAGTATCCCTCCGAGAATAGATAACGGCTCTTCAAGGAGCTGCACCAGTGTTTCCTGGTCCTTGCATGCAGCAGGCAACACCAGCATACATCCTTTGGGCTATCTTATCTACTGTCACACCCTCAAATCCACTTTCTAACTAGAGAGAGGCAATGCCGTCACTCTAGAGGTTTACTGTAGAACTCACCAAAGTCAAAGAAGCTCTGCCCAGATTCTTTCCAGGCAGTATGGGCCTAAACATAAGCCAGACTGGTCTTCCTAAGCTAACAGGAAGTATATTCCTTTCTGGGATTGACCCAAATATCTTGATCTTTTCCTTTCCTTAAATTGCCTATCCACTGATACGTGTTCAAGTCAGAGTCTGTTTGAGAGGATAAATCTTAGGAAACAGAGCCAAGAGGAAGGGGAGGGAATGGTCTCCATGTATAGTCACGTGACCACCGGAGGTTTTCAAAGGTCTTCCTCCCTATGAGGGTGATGTGGGAGTGGACATCTGGCTCAAAGTATAATGTTTGAAGTGTCATCTGTATGTTAGTTCCTAGAAGGAACTAATTTATTCTAATTAATTTAGAATTAGTTATTAATTTATTCTAAGAGTTCCAACACTGTCCTTGTATCTGAGCAACAAAGGATGATTCATGCAGATAATCCTGGGGAGGCTTTGATCGAGACTAGCAAAGTGATCTTGAAACTGAAATTCCTCCGTGTCCTTGCTTTGATTCCTTGAAGAGAATTGATACAGACTCCAAGTTTTAGTGAAGCAAAGAATTCCTGCTTCCTTGATTCTGATTTTCTCTTGCCAGGACACAAATAGGCTTTGAATTTCACCATTAGGCCTTAATTAGTAACCTTGTTTGTGAAATTGAAACAAAGGTCTCGGTGAAAGGCTGGCAATGGCTGTTCCATGCTCTCCGAAGACCCAGAATCAAGGCTTGAAATGAAATCACTTTTCCTCATGACTAAACTAAATCTCTCTTGCATGTTAAAAGTCTTTTAAAAGGCCGCGCACGGTGGCTCAGGTCTGTAATCCAAGTACTTTGAAGGCCAAGGTGGGCAGATCACCTGAGGTCGGGAGTTCAAGACCAGCCTGACCAACATAGTGAAACCCCGTCTTTAAAAAATAATAATAGAAAAGCTTTTAAGGGGGGTACGATCCAAGATGGCCGTTTAGGAAAAGCTCAGGATTGCAGCTCCCAGTGAAAGCGCAGAGGGTGAGTGGACGCCGCGTTTTTATTGCCCACAGACTAGGAAATTCCCAGGCGGAGGTGCTCCACGGTCACCAGCGCGGCTGTTTCGGCCAGCGCAGCTGTGCCGGCCAGCGCCGCTGCTTTGCCCCTCGCGGCTGCTTTGTCGGCGCCCCAGAGCCACGGTTCTCCGTACAAAATACACTGGTCCGGGGGCCCTTTTGGCTGGCGATTGGAGCCACGGGAAGTCGCCCATACGCCGGTTCAAAAAGGGGACTGAGCAGAGAACCAGGACAGTAGATTCCAGGGCAAAAAAAAAAAAAAAGCGCCACAAACCTCAGTGCCACTGTTTAAGCCAGTGCAGTGAGTGGCCAAAGGGGAAAACAAGCAGACCCCGGCACCTCTTCAACAGGCGACTGGAACACCAACTTAAAAAAGGCTCTGAGGCAGGAAGCCAGGCGATCAGGCTCGGCTGGTCTCACCCCCACAAAAGAACAGCAACCAGAAACTCTGGATTGAGAGTTTCACAGCAAGCGCAGCTGAACCCGGGACGGTCCAGCTCTGTGGGGGAGGGGCGTCCGCCATTACCGAGGCAGCCCGCTGTTGCCAAGGCAACCCGCCATTGCTGAGGCAGCCCGCCGTTGCCAAGGCAACCCGCCACAGCAGAGACTCCGCCCCAACAGAGGCGGGCCACCATCCCCAAAGCAGTTCTAACTACACCCATATAAACAGGACTGCAGGGAAGTTCACTCGGCAGCGGGGCGGAGTCCACAGCAGCTCAGCAAAGCTGCTATAGGCCAACAGTGACTAGGCTGCCTCCTTGCTAGGCTGGGCAGGTCTGAAGGAAAAAAAAAAAAAAAAAAAGGCGGCAGCATAACGGAAACTCATAAATAAAGCCCTAAATCCCTGGGACAGAGCTCCTGGGAACAAAAAGCAGTTTATGAGTTCTGCTGCAGCAGACCTAAAAGTACCTGCCCAGCAGCTCTGAATGAACAACAACAGAGCTCGCAGCTCACCATTTGAGCTCCTATAAAGAAGAGACCGTCTCCTCGAGCAGCTCCCTGACCCCTACATATCCAAAAAGACACCTCATAAAAGAGAGATCAGATTGACACTAGGCGGGTATCCTTCTGGGACAAAGATAGCAGAAGAAGAAAACTGGTAACAACCCTTGCTGTTCAGCTGCTGCTGCAGGTGAACCCCAGGCAAACAGGGCCTGGAGTGAACCTCAGCAGACCTACAGCAGAGGGGCCAGACTGTCAGAAGGAAAACCAAGAAACAGAAATAACCTCATCATCAACAAACAGAACGTCAGTCTGAAAGATTTGAGACCCAATCTGAAAGCCAGCAACTACAAAGTCGACAGGTAGATAAATCCTTAAAGATGGGAAGAAACCAGCGCAAAAAGGATGAAAACACCCGAAACCAGAACACCTCTCCTCCTAAAAGGGATCACAACTCCTCACCAGCAAGGGAACAAGGTTGGATGGAGAACGAGTGTGATGAAATGACAGAATCAGACTTCAGAAGGTGGGTAGTAAGAAACTTCTGTGAACTTAAAGAACATGTTCTAACCACATGCAAAGAAACTAAGAACCTTGAAAAAAGATTGGACGAAATGCTAACAAGAATGGACAAAATAGAAAGGAATATAAGTGAATTGATGGAACTGAAAAACGCAACACGAGAACTTTGTGAAGCATGCACAAGTATCAACAGCCGAATGGACCAAGCAGAAGAAAGGATATCAGAGGTCGAAGATCAACTCAATGAAATAAAACGGGAAGGCAAGACTGAAGAAAAAAGGGTAAAAAGGAATGAACAAAGTCTCCAAGAAATGTGGGACTATGTGAAAAGACCTAATCTACGTCTGATAGGCGTACCCGAATGCGACGAAGAGAAGAATCCAAGCTGGAAAATACTCTTCAGGATATTATCCAGGAAAACTTCCCCAACCTAGCAAGGCAGGCAAACATTCAAGTCCAGGAAATTCAGAGAACACCACAAAGATATTCGTCAAGAAGAGCAACCCCAAGGCACATAATCGTCAGATTCACCAGGGTCGAAATGAAGGAGAAAATACTAAGGGCAGCCAGAGAGAAAGGTCGGGTTACCCATAAAGGGAAGCCCATCAGACTCACAGCAGATCTCTCAGCAGAAACCCTACAAGCCAGAAGAGAATGGGGGCCAATATTCAACATCCTTAAAGAAAAGAATTTTCAACCCAGAATCTCCTATCCAGCCAAACTAAGCTTCATAAGTGAAGGAAAAATAAAATCCTTTGGGAACATGCAAGTACTCAGAGATTTCGTCACCACCAGGCCAGCTCTACAAGAGCTCCTGAAAGAGGCTCTACACATATAAAGGAACAACAAGTACCAGCTCAACTAAAGGGCAAAACAGCCAGCTAGCACCAAAATGGCAGGATCAAATTCACACATAACAATATTAACCCTAAATGTAAATGGACTAAATGCCCCAATCAAAAGACACAGACTGGCAAATTGGATCAAAAGACAAAACCCATCGGTGTGCTGTATCCAGGAAACCCATCTCACATGCAAGGATACACAAAGGCTCAAAATAAAGGGATGGAGGAAGATTTACCAAGCAAATGGAGAGCAAAAAAAAGCAGGAGTTGGAATTCTCATCTCTGATAAATTAGACTTTAAAGCAACAAAGATCATAAGAGACAAAGAGGGACATTACATAATGGTAAAAGGATCAATGCAACAAGAAGAGCTAATGATCCTAAATATATACGCACCCAATACAGGAGCACCCAGATACATAAGGCAAGTTCTTAATGACTTACAAAGTGACTTAGACTCCCACACAATAATAGTGGGAGACTTTAACACCCCATTGTCAACATTAGACAGATCAACCAGACAGAAAATTAACAAGATATCCAGGACTTGAACTCAGACCTGGACCAAGCAAACCTGATAGACATTTACAGAACTCTCCACCCCAAATCCACAGAATATACATTCTTCTCAGCACCACATCACACCTACTCTAAAACTGACCACATAATTGGGAGTACATCACTCCTCAGCAAATGCAAAAGAACGGAAATCGTAACAAACACTCTCTCAGACCACAGTGC